TGGTTCATTCCCTGCCCCGGACTCTCGGTTCTCGCATGTACACTTAGACCAGGTAGGTCCATTGCCTCCGTCACGCCGATTCGTATACATTCTTACATGTATCGACCGCTTCACCAGATGGCCAGAAGCCATTCCCGTAACAGACTGCACAGCTGAGACTGTTATCCGGGCCTGCTTGGACCGGTGGGTCTCGCACTACGGATGCCCATCCACCATCACAACCGACCGAGGAACGCCTTTCGAATCTTCACAATTCGATACGTTCTGCAACTACTTAGGCTGTCGCCGCGCTCATACCACAGCGTATCACCCAGCAGCCAACGGGTTGGTTGAACGTTTCCATAGACAGCTTAAAGCCTCGCTCTGCGCCTCCTCCGACCCTAGCTGGAGCGAAAAATTTTCGCTCGTACTCTTAGGCATTCGCAGCAGCATCAAAGCTGACTTGCAATGTGCACCAGCAGAGTTGATTTACGGCACGACGCTCAAGTTACCAGAATTCGTTTCACCTCCCGCATCGTCGGGTATGCCTCCGTCTAACTTTGCGTCCTCCCTAGCTCAACGCATGCGTTCACTACGCCCGACCCCGCCCCGTGAACAGACTAGAGATGTGCAAATGCACAGCGGACTCTCTACCTGCACTCACGTCTTCCTCCGCACCGACGCAGTGCGGCGTCCCCTCCAGCCTCCCTACGCTGGCCCTTTCAGAGTTCTGCAACGGACTCCGAAACATTTTACTATAGACCAGAATGGTCATCGAACAACGGTGTCCAGCGACCGCCTCAAAGTGGCTTTCGTTGACGAGCCACTTGCAGCCCATCCTGATGTTCTCGCACAAGCACCCGCACCTGTGGTGACTTCCCGAGCACTGAATAACCCGGAACCCTCCGTACCCCTTGACCCGCAACCTATCCCGCCGCAACCCCAAGCAACCGACCAACGCGGTAGACAGGTCAAAAGTCCGGTCCGTTTTTCCGATTCTGTAAACGTTTGCTATTTCCATTAGCACGCCTTTTTCGTCTTTAGTGGTTATCCTGCGTCTCACCCACAAACGTTTTGCAAAATCGACAAAAAATACCAAAACATTTTGAAAACCTAAAAAGCGTTTTTGCTTTTATCATACATGCCATGTTCCCTCTCCGGCGTCAAGCCACTTCCCAGACCCTTGCCAACCCCCTCTGAGTTTTACGTTCCAGAAACTCAACCGCCGGAACTGCCCAGGCAACCCTCGAGTGACTCGCCAACCCGCTCAACGCAACCCTGGAGTGACTCGCCAGCCGTCCCAAAGCCCCCTTCCTCATCCAAGGAAGAGACAGTCGCCCTCGACCGCAGACACCCACGAACGGATTGGTCTCAAAACGCCGCCCTGGCATTGCCGACGTACACGCCGGATTCCTTCGTGGGGCGAGGACCCCGCATACCTTCGTGGGACGAGGACGCCCGGATTTCTCCGTGGGACGAGGACGCCTGGATTTCTTCGTGGGACGAGGGCCGTGGACTAAAGTGCGGTGGGGGAGTGACACCTCCCAAGCGCACCGTCGGGTCTGCAGCAAAGGGAAGGTCCTGTCGGTCTTTTTTCTGGACTAGCCTGTGTTTTGCAGTCCGACCAGCCCGCCCCGACGGCCCACCGATGATGCACTCTGGTCCACACGATCGTCATAAATAATAACTAACAAAAGCCTGAACCAAGCGAAATCTGCTACACAACAAACTTTGGAAGCTCTTACTCAAGCCTCTGCAAATATTCGTATCAACTCACCTTCCATTTCCCCCACTAACAGCTCTATCGAATGCTTCCATCCTTCAGCCTTCTAGGGGAGGCCCTTGTAGTGCAACAGAAAACATGCTCTTTCAGTATCTTGTAATCTTGGACTTTACGGTTGTTTTAACCTTCGAAACGTCCATTTGTTTTACTGACTGCACGTCCGTCGTCACAAAATGTTTTGGTGAGTTCCTCGCTGCACGTTTCCCGCTCCGTCTGATTCGCTGCTTATTCTGGTAGTCTGTACAATATACGTTGGGTACAGTTGCTTTCGACTTCTGTACTGTCGTATTTGACACGTCTTACGTGTCAATGCTTACCGACTAGTATCCCAGGCACCGCCCAACAACTTTTTCTTGTGGTCTTGTGGGGAAGGCGTCGGCGGCGGCACAACACTCATGAACAAGCAAAGCATGAATAAAAGGTTTGTACAATTTTGAATAAATGCCTTATGTATACTACGGATTCTGGTGCAAAATCCCTCCATTCTTTTGTTTAAGTTATCAATAGATAATGGTAAGCTTTATTGTCACATGAGAAGAAGAACAGCAGCTGAGAAAATTGGTGGCACGGAGAAACATGAGTACATAGAGAGCTCGTTCATGACTTATGCGTACAAAGTAGTGAGAATAAAGATACTTTGCCCGGTCGGAACAATGCTTCAAAAAGAATCAATTCGAACCATGGAAAAAAGTTAGGCGGGTTACGTGGCACTGTTTAGTAAAATTATAGGCCTGGACGGGGTGAGCTACGTTGGTAACGGTACTTTAGGTAAAAGGAAAATGGCAATGCGTCTTTGTTACAAAGGAGCGATAATGTTAGACGCAAGCAAGCACTGGAAAGTGATGTATGTAACAGCCTCATTAAATTGGCCAACTTGTGTTTCATCAATACTTACTGCAGCATAAACCGCAGCAGCAAAACGCGAAGGTAAATTAGGGCTAAGCTTAATCTTGCCGCAGCACCCTGCACTTTCACCATTGCAAAGCTATAGCTCTCTCACTGGCTTTCCCGGGCTCAATCTACTTTATCGCTATTCTCTTGGCATCCTACCATGACTGCTTTATCAGCGGGCCGCTGCGCTTTTGCCTCATAAGCTCTGACATATTAACCAAACATATTGTATGCTTGCATTCCGCAAGTTCACCGTCTATACATCAACTTACGCTTAATTAGCTCTCTCCTAAGGAATAGACCTAACCCCAATTACCAACGCGCAACCGTTCTTTAGCCACTTTCCCAAAAGCTCCCTTATACACTACTCGCTGCAACTTTTTCTAAGCCTGTCCATGTTGGAGACCAGCTCTTTTACTGACTTTCCCGGGCTTAGTCTACCATAGCACACTCCTGACAACACCCCAGCATGACTTAAATATCTGAGCGCCGCTACGTGTTTTTCCTCATTTGCTCTAACCGCTTCAAGTACCTTAATGGGAGCTTTCAGCTTGTCCGTTCGCTACCATTTCATCCCTTTACCTTCCTTAGTATTCTTCTAGCAAACAACCTTATAACTATTATAGAGCGCATAGCTGTTCCTTACCTTCTCCTGTCCAGTTACCCTTACTGATTGCAAACAATTCGACAACAGCTCATGTAGCAGCCCATCTATCTAGCTGGCACTCCGTGAACTTTGTCTGTTTTAGCACTATTTTCTTAGTACGCTAGCTGGAATTATTTATCTGCGCATCGCTGCGCTTCCGCTTCGTATATGCTGGGGGTATATAATTTATCGTTTATAAACGACCTGGCTCATCTTATTGAGGATCCCTGCTCTACCTTTGCACGTGACTTGAGGTTAAACAGTGGAATCAATGGAGAAAACTTGAATATTGATAGCATCACGATGCTGAATTGGTCAAGCCAACGGGAATTACTTCTGAATGCCAAGAACTGGTAGCAATAGAGCGATAGTGTAGCGGAACTGCAGTGCAGCCTCCTGCGGGCTCCCTGTCACTGCAGTGTACTGATGAAGTCCGAAATTTAGGTGTCCCCATACTGAACAGTTGCAACCCTTCGGCACAAGGTCGATACGCTGGCAAAAACGAGCGAAAGGGCACTGAGCGATACTAAGGCAGAAGTATTTTTGCCGTTGTACAAACCAGTGAGTTGGCCAAATCTGGAGTACTGTACTCCGGGATAGTCACCGTATCTCCGAAGTGACGCTATGCGTAAAGAACATATTCGTAAACTTGCGACCAGGATGCTCGAAGGTCAACGAGGGAAGTCGAAGGAAGATGGCCTAAGTAGCTTATGATTAGTTTCCTTGGATCGGGACAGATTGCGAAAGTAGTTGATGGCGACGTTATAGATCAGTACGGGACACAATGGCATCAATCACATCCACATGTTTTGGTTAACTATGTTGGAACACCAGCGCGGGCATCAACTGAAGCAAAAAAATCCTGCTCATTTTAACATTAGGAGGAAATATCTTATAAATCGAATAAATAAAAACTGGAATAAACTTCATCTGATTTAGTGGAAATGAGTCTGTAGAAACCAGCACCAAGGACAGATAAGCGTTGGTCTGATCTTATACCAGAGATATTGTAAATATACTGGCATATTTAATGTATATTGGTGCTGATATGAAAAAGCAAAGATTTTGCTTGCTTACTTCTTTTGCAGAAGTAAAAAGTAAAAAGCCAACGTCGTAGTGCCGTGGGTTGTTTTTCACTTACCGGCAAAAGTTACAAGACGATCGAGACGGAAGCTTCTATCGTCCGTGGTGCCAAAGTTGACCTGAGTCGATAACGCGGGGGACGTGCATATCTCTCGTTCTCACTGAGTTAGATCAGGATCCACTGCGCCCATTCTGCTCCTAATAGGAACTCGGCACGTTATTAACGCACGTCCTTGCAGAATAAGGCACAAACGCAGCACATCAATAGGCATGTTCCCGCGGCATTCCAATACATTAGATATAAATAATTAAACAGATTATGAAATTATCAAAGATGACTTGTTTAGCTTATTTACCATACAGTTTAATCAAGTATTTTACATAACACACTATAAAAAGTAATTTATTTGTTTAGCTGCGCCAGTCGAATATCATCCAAGCAACAAAGTCCACTGGAACGAAATCAATCCGGGTCTCCCGAAGATGATGAACAATAATGCAGGTAACATAATCAAAAACACGAATTAAGAAGCTTCACCAAGGGTACTCGTTCTATACCTCTTTAATGGTGACTTGGCCAAGAAGTTCAACAACCGCCTGGTTGTTCAGAAAAGTGTCATGCGCACTTATGGAAATGGAAAAGCCGTTGCAATTGCTGATGACGTGAGTCAAATTCGACCGTTCTGTTCGCTCTGCTTTTTGTATAATACTTAATGATACGTATCTATGCGGTTATGATGGCATCCTTAATCGCTAAAACGCAGCTATAACTTTTGACATGAATGCAGGTTTTTGGTTGTTAATACCTAACCAAAAACCATAATCGTAGCACAAAAACTTATAAGCGTAACGTCAAGGGCTATGCTAGTATTTAATGTAAAATAAATTCGCCCCAAGTGTGTCCTACTGGGATGCATTGTCTTTTCGAGCTAAATCCGAACTCATCACCAGGTCCTGGTGGGCTACACCCTTTGTTTCTCAGAACCCTAGCTGAGTACATTGCTGCACCTGTTTGCCAAATTTATCAGTGGTCTCTTGACGCGGGGCGTCTCCCGCTTGCTTGGAAAATAGGCACCGGCAAGCCCATATATAAAGGTGGAAATCGTCAGGACCCCGGAAACTATCGACCAATTTGCTTAACATCTATAGTTTGTAAGTCATGGAACGAATTCTCAAACGAGCCCTTCAGAGTCACCTTTACGGCTGGAATGTCATTGCTTCTGCGCAGCATGGCTTCAGGCGAGCTCGCTCATGTGTTTCCAAGCTGCTCGTTGCCAGAGAGAGGTGGGCCAGGTCATTAGATGCCGGAAATCGCTTAGACGTTGTCTTCGTCGACTTCAAGAAGGCATTTGATACAGTGCCGCACGAAGGGCTTCTGTTTAAACTTCGGAGTATTGGTGTTTCTGGAGAGATTCTCTCATGGATCACTGATTTTCTGGATGGCCGTAGCATGCGAGTGAAGGTGAATGAGGTCTACTCCGCTTCCGTTCCCATGACCACTGGGATTCCACAAGGCTCTGTCCTTGACCCCGAGCTGTTTAAAGTCTACATTAATGACCTTCCATCTGTACTCCAGACCGATTGTCTGCTTTATGCCGATGACCTGAAGATATGGATGGAGGTACCAACACCTGAAGCTGCTGACCGACTGCAAGAGAAGCTAGACCTGCTTCATAGCTGGTCTTCGGAATGGCGTTTACCCATCAATCATGAGAAGTGCTCTGTCCTGCCGATCGGCTCTTCTGACTCATTTGGTGCCTAGCACATTGGTGGTTTCTTGATCAGGAATGCTGCCTGTGAGAAAGACCTTGGTATACTCGTATCTCCCGATCTGCGTACCTCCGAGGACACCCTGAGGAAGATAGCGGCTGCGAATAGGATGTTCTGTGCCATTAGGAGATCGTTCTCCCGAATGACTCCAGAGGTCTTCAGACTTCTTTTTTCTTCCCGTGTGCGCCCTATCCTCGAGTACGGTTTGCCTGCAACCTACCCTTTTACAAAGACTGAACGTGTTATTATTGAAAGAGTTCAGCGACGAGGCTCGAAATCCATCTCAGCGCTCCGTGACCTGCCTTACACTCAGCGTCTTCGACAGATGAACATGTTTTCCTTGGATTACCGTCGACGTCGGGGTGATCTGATTTACACCAGACGGATATTGCGAGGACAGATGGGGAGTGAACTGCAAGAGTTCTTCCAGCTCTGCGCTGATAGCTCGACACGGGGTCACTCTTGGAAACTGTTTAAGCCAAGGAGGGCCCGGATTCATTCTGATTTCACCCTATAAACCCGAGTGGTAAACTACTGGAACAGCTTGCCTGAACTGGTCGTTAGTGCACAATGTGAGGAAAGTTTTAAGAAACTGTTAGATTCCTATCTGCTGAGTATGCAAGGATCCTACTGTTTTCGATGCGACCGTAATGGTCCCTTGCGGAATACCGCCTCGCAACATGTCGCACAATCCTTGCTCTGAACGGGATGTGATGGAGCTAACACAGGATGCCCTATCTGCTCTCTACCACTCCAATGATACTCCAATGATACAGATGTACGGCAAGACCTTGTAGAGGACCGTTACCTAATGAGTTAGAGTGCGGGGGCAAAGTGCAATCTTAGGCAAATACACAAAATAGAAAAAGCAATACATTTGCGTTATAGTTCCTTCTTCAGTCGATGTTAGTTCGATGCCGACTAGAGATTCGAAGATATAAATTCGAGTAGTGGATAGACGTGGTAGCTGCACAAGCAGAGGCGACAGCAAAACTGAAAGCAGTACGACGAGAGCGCGTAGAAATTCTTGTATCCAAAATTTTGTGAATTTAAACAAATGGTACAAAATGATCAGTAACCGAACTGATAAATACAAGTATAAAATACGGTGAAATCACAACCACTACAACCTTTCATTTGGGCCTGCTTTTGGAAATTCGTAGAGTCGAATATTAATTTGAAAACTAATGGAGTGACCTGTCCAGATAATCCGCTAAATGTGTTTGCATCTTGTTCATATCTTGGATTTTTTTGTCCAAATGGTTACTTTCTAATAACGTCGTAATTTCACTCAGCGCGAGGGACTATTGGAGCTCCCCGAGTAACCAATTTCTTGTCTTCAGCCGTCTTAATTGGATACCACGTGGTTACATATTGGGCACTTAAAAACATAATTAGATTAGCTTAACAGATATTGTATTCAGTAATTAAAATTTGGAAATCGCTTTCGGATCAAGTTTGACGGTGTTTGCAAACTGGAAAAATGCATGCAAATTACATAGTGCCTTGGAGCAAGAGATTCTAAGTGACTAAAAGTCGTCTTAATTGGGACGAACTAAAAAGTATGTTCAGTTTAGCCGAACGACTGTAATAAGGCGTAATTAAAAATTGGGAATTGTGTTGGACTTAACGTTGACAATATTTGAAGCTATGAAAAATGCATCCAACTTGCATGTTAAGGGTGCGTTGGAAAATGAAACTTTGAGTCAATAATAGTCGAACAAAGTGTATCGGATTAGGAGGGCCGGAGTACCAAATTCATTCACTCTGGGAGCTCCAACTATCACTACAGCGGACACTTTCGGTCACTCGTGCGAACAGAAAACAAGGGGCTTAAAATCTGTTAATCAGCAAAACACATCAGTCACCTTTGCTGAATAAAACTATAAGTTTATTATAAAAAATATCTTATGGACAAGAATTGATGATTTTAAATGGTATAATAGATTTTGGGACTTGTAAGACTATACGTTTATCAATGTCGGCAGGAAATATCAACCGATTAGTTACATGACACAAATTTACAAAAGTACCTGCAGACGTTTCTGTAAACAAAAGCAACTATCTCCAGCACCTCGGCAAATAATGTCAAGCATCCGACACTAATGTAAGTGATTTCGTTAAATCGTATAAATATGACACTATTGGAAGCAATTTTTGATCTGGGTAAACGGCACTGTAGCCAAGGAAAATTGAAATAAAGGCAAATTAACATTTGCATTATGCATCCGTTTAGATGCACTTCTAGCATTTTGCACTGTCACTGCAAATGGAGCAAAAATTTACTTTCACTGATAAAAGCAAATAAAGCATCTAACATAGGGTGTTGACATTCCATTAACGCAAACATCTGCCTATCGCACTTATGGTTTTTTATTCGGTCAACAACTGGCCGTGACAGGCACAAAAGATTCGTTGTAGCAATGCGCAATATAAAAATGCAGACTTACATTTAGAAAGCGTGGAAGAAACAGTTAGTGCTTAGTATTAATGAACTTGTAATAGGTGGAAAGTGTCGTTAAAAATTATATTGGTAACTTAGCAGCAAGGTCCACCTTGTTGCTAAAAAAATCATCAAGGTCCTAAATGACCATTCAATTGGATTTTGAAACACGTTTAGATGGCCGTACAAACGATGTACTGTTGTTTATGAGAAGTCCAAGCAAAAGCACTAGAAAAAAGTGACGCTAGTTGTGCAAAATGCATCACACACAACTTTAAATATAAAAGCACGAGAAACTGAAAGCATTTTAAGTCATAGGGCATAAAACGACAGCTTTCTAAGCGAGTAAAATGTTTCAACAACATGAGTAGACTAAGCTAAGTTTAAGCTTTAGGAAGTTGACTATTGATATTTTGAGAATTATACCTTTACTCGCTGTCAGTGAAGGAGTATCATTCGGAACGGCTTATGGGCTATCACGCCGATAAAAATAAAGGTTACTTCTATATTTAGAAATGTGCAGATGTGGGCTGAGGTGACCACAACCCAAATTCATCCACAGCACTCTGAGTAATAGACTTAACAAAATCTAAAGCTAAACATACTATGAGGACCTCATCGGCATATTTGCATCCAATAAAGTTGGACGATTTAAAAATCATTTTAATAAATAAAGAAAACATAAGGGTGAAATAACGCTTCAAGCAAGACACTAGGATCAAAGCAAGGTATTAATGGCTGTGATTGGTTAGGCTGTATGAATTGGGTACGGTTGATTAAGTGGTCTATAATCAGGCTGCAGGTATTAATTTTAAGCATTTCAGGCTTTATTAACGTTTACGAAAGCAGTTGGATAATCGAAAAGCAGCAAGTCCGTTTCTCTAATTTTTCGTCCAGTATACCGATACTAAAAGCATAACGCAAAACACAGCACTCGGTGTAAAGCAGTTACGTTTATCGACAAAAGGAAACACATCGTTTACCTAGGTGCGTGTACAAATCTAAAGAGCAATTAGTCCCTCGAAGAACTCAAACATCACTGGCGTGCAGAAAATCGGACGACAGTGTTGAGACTCTATATTAGGCACAACGTTATTCTTACAGGTTTGCATTCTTGGTGATTGCAGTATGCATAAGCCAACAGTTAAACATTACAGTTATTAGTACAGCGCGATAATCAGCGCACTCCTTTAGGACGGCTGCTCATACTCCAGCATGTTCAGCACCATTGTTCGTCGTCAACTTTTTGAATCACACGTAATCACTCAAACGATCAGTGGTAACTCCAATTGGTTTGTAAGGGGGCGCAGAGAACGCAAGTCATGTGGGGAAGAACGGAGCACAGCATGGAGTCTATCTACCTGCGCCTTATTAAGACAGTTTATTCACCTTCGCTACACAGCTGCTATAAACGATCCAATAGGTTGCGGTAAGCTTGATTGTGCAACAT